TATATATTTCTTTTCTTTTTCTTTACTGTATTCTTATTTTTTCTTTCTTTTCTATTTTTCTATTTTTTCTTTTCTGCACTTTCTATTTTTTATTTTTAGTTTTTTATTTTTATTTTTTATCTTTTTAATTGTAATTTTAATAAAATTGTTATAAAAATGTATTCATGACATCGATAATAAGAAACATACATTATTTATTACAATTATCTTCCTAATGCTATAACCATTTCATACACAATAATTATTAATTTTGCTAAAAAATTATTTATCGCACAACATAAACTTTAATAAAGACTCAGTTTCAGAACGGATTAACCATGAATACAGACATCAGATTAATTAATCACTCTAAATTTAATTCTTAGTTGCAGAATGGACTTGATACTCCAATCTCCATCAACAAAGTTTCCAATCATTATTTCAAGAACAGTGCCATGGAGATTATTCTGTAATTTCAAGGAGATAAAGGCACAAGTAAGAGTTGCCAACTATAAGCAATGACATGGAATTGATGGTAGGTATTTCTAGCTTCTGCTACAGCCAGGTTCCTTCCATATATAGACTACAACTCCCATCTCTCTCAACAAGGATGGGCATCAGTACCCAATGTGAACTGGACACAGTGGAGGAGAGGAAAATGGAAAGAGATGTCATGGAAGATGGCATGGTTACATAGAAGAGCACTACATACTACAATATTTAACTAAAGATCCCACTTGTCTATTCAGATTAACATGGTTAGGTACAGTAAAAGGGATGCCAACTGTAGCAATAACATTTCAATGTCCGATTGTATAAGTAATTATCCCTTGAATGTTTGAGGCTTAATCTGAAGCAGGCACTTGCTTTTTGCAAGGGTGATATATAGAGTACGCATTCATAAATAAATAGGCAATGTGCAAAAAGGGTAATAAATTCCTTATTTATTGTATTTATTTATCCCTTACAAAGAATATGCACCTCAAAAATAACTTTATTTAAGACCTGATTTATATTTGCCTTGAGAAAAGCACATTGTGTATAAACAATCTAGGGAGTCTGTAAGACTACAATTTGCAATCCACGAGTACATTAACAGTATTCCGTTAATTTAGTTAATAAAAGAATGGGAATTAAAAAAACCTAACAATGCACACACACCATGATATGCATACTGATTTATTTTGGCTTCTTTCTCATTCTTTTCAACCAGGAATCACTGATTCTTTTTGTAGTATGGGCCAGAAGGAAGCCTACACACACACACACACACACACATATATAGAGATGATATGCTCATTATATACTGATACTAATCATATATAGATTTTCACTAGTATGAGCATATAATATTGGCTGTAATCATCTGTTTTTTTCCACATATTAAATATGTTCATTGAGAATCAGAGAAGGAAGGAAAGAGATTAGAGATCAGAAACATCTAAGGTGGTACAGTGATTAACATGCTGTCTTACAGTGGGAAGCAGCTTTCTACTGAGCACTTATGAATAATAAGGAAACCTTAATACTTCCTAAAAGCTTCACATGCAAAGGTTACAAACTTTCTTTACCTATTTCTTTCAGTGACATGTTCAAGCTTCTTTGCCAATTGACAACATTCTTCTTTTAATTTTGATAGAAGAGCATTCTGGGAACTCAGCAATGATTCCAGTTCATTTACTAGAAACAACAGTTATACATATACAAATATAGGTAAGTTCTCTGAATAGATATTACACAAGACATTTTAGAAGCACTTTAAAATTTTACTCTGACTACAGAGTGCAAATTACTTTTTGAAGAAATTGCCTATAGCAAAGGGAAAATCTCTTCAAAGTATTAGGACAAACACATAGTCACGTCTCTTTCTATGAATTGTAAGGTTTTCCTTTTTTATTCAGATACTAATTCAGTTTTACAGAAACTTCCTAACAGAGAATAGAACCCCCTGATGGTCATCACTACAGGTAGTCCTCAACTTACAACCACAACAGGGACTGGAAAACTTGTTAAACAATGAGGTTGTTAAGTGAGGGATCATGTGAGTGCACCCAATTTTACGACCTTTTTTGCAGTGGTTGTTAAGCGAATCACTGTGGTTGTTAAGTGAATTGCATGGTTCCCCATTGATTTTGTTTGTCAGAAGCCAACTGGGAAGGTTGCAAATGGCAATCATGTGACCGCAGGATGCTATCATAAATGTACAACAGTTGCCAAGTGCCTGAATCACAATCACATGACTGCGGGAGTGCTGCGACAGTTGTAAGTGCAAGGACTGGTCATAAGTCCTTTTTTTCAGCACCATTCAGTAACTTTGAATGGTTGTTAAACGAATGGTCATAAATCGAGGACTACCAGTAATGACAAGAGCTGTCAGTTTCTCTGTACAAGAAAATGCACACATTTCCTTATAGAATACTCTTTGCTGTCTAACTTTTGTCCTCTCATCTCCATTTTTAAACTAAAAGTTTCTTCAAACTTAGTATTTAACAAATCACCCTGAAATTGTTGGCTCAGTCCCAAACAATAAGATATTGGAAGCTAAAATGAATTACAAAAATGCTTTAGATACTGATGCCAAAACTGCTATTTAAAAGGAAGGGAAAATACAAGGAAAGCACTGGCTCAGTACATGTTGCTTTTTTCCCAAAATATATTAGAAGTCCAAAACTGTATTATGAAAAACTAACAGTTAACAGTTTCATAATCGACCACTTGTGAATGGGTTGGCATTACATTTTGGCTAATCAAAAATGAAAACATTTATTCATGGAAAGTACTTTCACATAGAAACCACCATAGATGATCATGCCTAAGTTCTTTGTAACTGTGCTAAATATAATGGTCTTTACATATAATACTCTAAAAATTATCTGGTAATGCCATAGCAGATAAATATTTACATGTTTTGGCCATGGCTTATTATGCTTTATTCAGTTACAATAGGATATTGTTTCTTTGATCCTTCTGGATACCACACATATTTCCCTGCTAAATGCTTATACAGTAATATGGTCCTTTGCCAATATATCCTGCCTTGTTCTTAGCTGTTTTAGTCTGGGTGTCAAGAGTCAGGCCTTAGGAAAATATCATTTTCATTTCTGCTATGCCATATAATCAAAATAATTTTTGCATGAAGGAGGCTGGAGTTATTTCATGAGTTAATCTGCAAACTGAATATATCCCAGAAAATACAGAATCAACTAATAAGACAAATGCACAAGAGAAAGTGCCCTTAAAGGCTTAGAGCTAAAACAGCAGCTGGACTGCTGCTGGATCAGAGGTAGTCGATACCAGGATACTCCTCAGCCTAAATTGTCTGCCAGTTAAAGGAACAAAAGATCCAATAAGGCAGCCCTTCTATAGTAGAGGAAGCATGCTCTTCTGCAGCTGTCATAGCTTTGGAGGGCTGTTTGAATAGACCTATGACTAGTGCCAAGTTGCTGCTGATAAGTCTGAACTGAAGGTCATATTCCATTTGGATTGTTTCTTTTGCTGGCCAGAAGTTAAGGCTGGCCTCTTCTCTTATTTTGTGATACTAGAGATAATGGTGTTTTTCTCTCTCAGTTTTCATGGGCCTGAAAGAGGATGATGTGGAATTAGAATAGTGTGGACACTGGGACATGCTTTTCCCTCTGTTCTCCATGTCATGATTCTGTAACAGGGAAGTTAGACTAGGTTATGGAAATCTGAAAGATAGGTATGGAAGAATCCTTGGGAGGTAGCCACAGTAAGGACCAAGAAGTAGTGGACGCAGGTGGACTGGCCATTACAGAAGCAGGGTGAATGAATGTTGTTCTTGCCTTCAAAAGTATCTATCCAGCAAGATCCTGCAGATTTTCATGGCATTCCTCCTCCCACTACCCAATTAAACTTTGTATTTATGAATGGTGAGTGAATATGAAACATGATTCTAAAGAGTTGATTCTGAAGCAAAAAAACCTGATCTGAACAAAGGTTGTGAGATAACAGCCTGTGTTGTATAGTGGTTAAGATGTTGGGCTAGGAACAGGGAAACCCAGGTTCTAGTCTACTCTCAGCCACAGAAGTTTCCTAGGTGATTTTGGGCCAGTCACTTTCACGCTGTATAACCTAATCCTCAGGATGATTGTTCCGGAGAAAACAAGAGCAGGGAGCACTATGCACACTGTTTTGAACACCTGAATATAAGGCAGAATATCAATCTCATTCAAAAATAAATATATATGTTTCCTGTCTGTCCACTCAGATGCATTATATAGCATCATCCAAAATGTGAAGTGCACAGTAGGGAATCAGAGTTCCATTACAACTACCAGATATTGTCCAAGAGTCATCCAACTGTGTGGGTATCTGTTCTTCAGATGTGGACCACTGTGTAACCATCGCCTTCTTTAACAAGCTGGAGTAGTATTCAGTAAAGTGCCTCTGGAGTCCCACAGATTAGGGCTTGTTTTGGGCTTTTTTTTTTCTTTTTTTTGGTACCTTCAAGTCAATGTTGACTGCTGGTGACTTCCTGGATTAGTTCCTACAGTTTTCCTGGCAGCATTTTTGGAAATGGTTTGCTATTGCCTTTTTCCTAGGGCTGAGAGAAAGTGACTAGCCCAAAGTCACCTAGCTAGCTTTGTGTCTAAGGCAGGACTAGGACTCATGCTCCCAGTTTCTGGCCTGATACTTTAACCACTGCACCAAACTGGCTCTTTCTCATATAAGTAGTTCAGAAAGGTATGATCTTGATGGCGAATGAAGGATTATTATCCCAAATTATTTCAGCAGGGCATTATTTTGATTATGTTGTGTTCAGGGCAGTAAGACAACTATTTAGTCAGGAGAATATAGTTTCTTATTTATGAACATTAATTCTGAATGAGATTTATGCTTTTAGAAAGTCCTAACTTCTGAAGAAATGGGGGAGGCTACTGCCTCTGAACATTTTCTCTGTGCTGATAAGCCAAGGCAGACCTACTTGTTTTCCAGAAAGTTCAGAGGAATGAAAATAGGGATGCCAACCACAGCAATGGTGGAGGAGACTCAGAATAAATCAACAGAAGCTAGAGCACATTTTAAGGAGTATACTGCAGCTTCAATGGCAAAGAGGAAATTGTAATTTGCCACTGCCACTATATCTACACTGAATTTTCTAGTGCAGCTATTCCAAATTATTGTATGAAAGATCTATCACATCAAGAACAGAAGATGATATGACAAAATTTTCTATGTACAAATCTCTCACATTCATCCTAACTAAGATTAGCAGATTCTAATGATGTACTTTTTAATGCCTACTTGTTCATGGATACCCTTCAGTTAAAGTACCCTGAGGATATGACAAGATTCCTCATAGTAAGAAGCCAACCCTTGGCAGAGGTGCTTGAGAGAGTGATAGATGGATTCTGGAATTGTAATTCAACCTGTTTTAAATGGAGCAGCACTTCCCTAAAGAATCAGGTTTGCAGTCTGTGAGTGCATCTGGATTCACCAAGAAACAGATGCCCAAGAAAATGTAAATAGGAGTATCTTTGCCCAGCTTAAGCTAGTGTGCCAGCTGCACCCGTTCTTGACAAGGTCAGTGCATCCATGATGATATATACCAAGACAGGACTATTGATTGGCTAGCTATCCTGCAATATATACATTATTTACCAATAAGCAATGTCCAAACTGTATGGTACATAAATGATGAAAAGAAAAAAGAAAATCTATTTAGGGAAGATATGTCAAGAGAAAGCATGTTGAATAAGCATGTTGAATACAGTGGGAATAGATACTTAATGTGTAGTAAAATAAGAAGACTTAGATAGGATCATGAATGTATGAGTGCTTAATGAATTCGGACTGAGTACAAAAGTAAATGATTGGTATGAAGAAATACACTGAGGTGGCTTGGTCATTTAGAGAGAATAAATTAGGACTGAATTGCAAATGGGTTGAGAGGAAGGGAAAGAAAGTCATATTTTGCTAGAGTTGATGAAGTCCTGAAAAAGAGAAAAGTGAAAAGTTTAAAAAATAAAAGGCATTATATGAGGTAGTGTATGGGCATGGTGGAAGCAATGGCAGTTTGTAATATTAGAAAGGATAGGGGTGGTATAAACTAATTTTACCTATGTTTCCTTTTTTCTTATCACATGCCTTTAATTTCTTTGACTTACTTAACATTGCTACCCCAAAAATGAATAGCATGGTGGTATACACACATACACACACATTGATTTCATCTGCCCACAATAGTTTTTTTGAAATATAAAAATATATAGCAAAATTATGAAGTATGAACAGCATGTAGAAAGAACATCAGATACCTGAATCTGTCACTTGACCTTCCTCTCACAGTTAATATCTGTCAATTGAATGCACTGAAACAGTGCAGCAAGTTGTGGGATATTAATATATTAACAAGTAGAAAATACCATAAATAGAGCTAATGTATACCATCCATACAGGGTTTACCCACATTTCTAGTGAATATCCCAGTGTCCCCTAATTTTTCAGATGGTTTCAAACGATGCAAATAATCCTGCATTTTTCCATCTAACTGATAGAAACTTTCAACTAATTCAAGAGTTGAGATCCCTAGGAAGGATAGGGAATGCTGCAAAATTGTGATTTGGAATCTATCTGGAAAAGTAACATTTTAATTAATAGCAAAATAACAGATAAAACTCCATCCATGCAATTTAACATAATTACTATTGAGATTCGTT